GCGAGCATCAGAGGGCTTCCATGGTGCGCACCAGTTTGCCGTAAGCGGCGCACATAAGGCTGGCGTCGCGTTCCCTGGCTGGCGTACCATCAGGTTATCACAGGGATTGTTAGCTTAGGACAGGTCCAGCATGGGTGGACAGCAGGATTGTGAGGTTGACGTTCCAGGGGTTTGAGGGTACTAGAGCACACCGACTATTTTCGGGATCGGGAACTACCACAAAGACGCGTGCTGCAGTATTGATTGGGATGCCGACCATCGGGCGCCGACTGTCATGAAAGCCGAAAGGACCGAGCAATCGCAACCGCGACACTTGGCGGGGTGCTGGAAGACTCCATAACGAGAGCCGTCAGACCGATCAGAACAGCAGGCGAGCATACGCCCGCAGACGAGCGCAAAGGTCGCAAGCGAATGATCTCCCTGGGCCAGACACAGCCAAAAAGAGAAGGGAGATGTGGAAGGCCCCAAGCGGGCCGTCGGAGAAGGAAACGGCCGCACGGAGAGGGAGAGGGAGAAGGGTGTCGCAGCGGGAGACACGCGGGTCGTCGCGGCCGAGGGGTCAGGAGACCGCGAGCTGGGGCGTCACGTTGAGGGTGGACGGGTGAGACGGCCGGGAGGATGATGGGAATGCAGCATTGGCAAAACCGTTGACGGACGGTGAGAGCGGGCGGCGGGGGTTTGGGCGGGGAAGAGAGAGGCTAGCATGGCTCTCCATCATCACCTGAACCGACCGATGCATGCAAGCGACCGGGGCGCTGACACGACGCACGATTCCCCTGCCTCGCATCCTGTTTGGAGGCAGCATGTGCGCAGGAGAGAGCGGGCGAACGGGTGCCAGATATATCGCGGAAGCCGGCGAGGTGGAGAAGAGACTCAGACGGCCGGAAGGAGAGAGGCGATCGCCTGCAGAAGAGGACGCGTTCCGTCACCGGGCACTTGACGCCGTCATGCGCGCGTAGGCGCCCATAACGTGCATTCAAGTCCTCGCGTTCCACTCCACGCATCCGAGTCCGAGCCCGGCCTCTGCTCGCCCTATCCTTCTTTCGCCTCCAGGCCGTATAAAACGAGTCCGATGGCACTCCCTCCGAGCTTCCCCCGAGCACTCCTGGCCTCCTCCACGCCGCCATGCTCGTTCTCAACCAGCGGCTCTCCGCTCTTTGCGCCCTCCTCGCGCTCGCCGTCTCTACAGATGCTCAGTCCAGCGCTCTTTCGTCGAGCGACGCAGCCTCGAGCGTGCTCAGCTCAGCCTCCCCGTCCTTCTCCAGCGCCCTCAGCTCAATCTCCGCAGTGACCACCGTCGCGTCCTCGGTCTCTGCCTCCACCATCCCCTCCACCGCGAGCAGCGCGGTCTCCAGCCAAAGCTCTGCCTCTCCCTCCATCTCCATACCTTCATCGGCGAGCCCCTCCGAGTCTCTCACGTCAGCTCTGTCTAGCACGCTCTCTTCTGCGTCAGCATCTGCCACTAGTCCCATCTCGTCCTCGGCCGCGGCCTCTATAACCTCAGCCTCGGCCTCCACATTTGCCACTGACACAGGCCCCCCTCTTGAATCAAGTGAGTAGCGGTGACTGGTATCTCGCTGGCCATGTACACTGCGCCGTAGCATACGAGGCGACTGCGGTTTGTGCCGTCTCCACACACCCGGGGATTTTCACCCGTGTGCGTGCGAGACGCATCCCCGCACCTGCACTGATAGAGTTTACGCTCGTGCGTCTGACAGGCGCCGAGAAGCACGGAAGCCGAAAACATCGGAAACGGTGTTGCACTCAATCCACGTCCCGTTTTGGCCTCTGAACGCACACCGAACAGGACTGACCAACCTTGGCTGCAGCGCACTACACGATACCCATCTCCTCATACCCCTTCAGCTCCTTCCCCGTCCCCTCCGCCTCGCCAATCCCCGGCGTCTTCCCCTCCACCTCCCCGCAGTCGCCCCCGCCCCCCGGCTCCTCCCTCATCCCCGACTTCGGCCCCGCCTGGGCGCGCGCCCACTCCCGCGCGCGCAAGCACATCTCTGGCTGGTCGCTCGAGCAAAAAGTCGCGGTCGCGACCGGCGTCGGCTGGATGGGCGGCCGCTGCGTGGGCAACATCCCGCCCGTCGCGGACTTTCCCGGGCTGTGCCTCGAGGACTCGCCGCTCGGCGTGCGCTTCACGGACTTTGTGAGCGCGTTCCCTGCCGGCGTGACGACGGCGGCGACGTGGAAGCGCAGCCTGCTCCGCGCGCGCGGGCAGGCGATGGGCGCGGAGTTCAAGGGCAAGGGCGTCCATGTCGCGCTCGGGCCGATGATGAACCTCGGCAGGATCGCGCAGGGCGGCCGGAACTGGGAGGGCTTCGGCGCGGACCCGTACTTGGCGGGCGAGGCTGCGTACGAGACCATCCTCGGGATGCAGCAGGCCGGCGTGCAGGCGTGTGCTAAACACTACATCAACAAGTGTGTACTCAATCCATTCCGACGACGTGTGGGTCACGAGGAGCGGGGATAGCTAACGGGCCGTTGTCTACAGCGAACAGGAGCACTTCCGCACGCAGGAGTCGTCCAACGTCGACGACCGCACCGAGCACGAGCTCTACCTCCACCCCTTCCTGCGCTCCGTCCAGGCCGGCGTCGCAAGCGTCATGTGCAGCTACAGTGAGTGTCTCCTTCTCCCATCTCGCCAGCCTAGTTGGGGTGGCTGGCAAACGCTGACACGACGGACAGACCTCGTCAACGGCACGTACGCGTGCGAGAACGACCGGACGCTGAACCAGCTCCTCAAGGGCGAAAACGGCTTCCAGGGCTACGTCATGTCCGACTGGCAGGCGCACCACTCCACGCTCGCCGCCGTCGGCGGCCTCGACGTACGTTCCGCGCCGCGCTTTCCGCTGTATCCCCGTTTCGATGAGGATGGACACTGACGCTCCAACACGGTGTGCAGATGTCGATGCCGGGCGACATCACGTTCAACTCGGGCACGACCTGGTTCGGCGCGAACCTGACCGCGTTCGTGCAGAACGGCACGATCGCGGAGAGCCGCGTGGACGACATGGCGGAGCGCATCCTCGCCGGGTGGTACCTCCTTGAGCAGGACAAAGGCTACCCCGACGGTCAGTGCCTCCCCCCCACTCCCTGACCGTCCTAGCTCCGTTGCGCGCGAGGCTGACGGGGGCAGACAGTGAGCTTCAACGCGTTCGAGATGAACGACCCGGCGACGAACGAGCACGTGAACGTGCAGGACGACCACTACAAGGTCATCCGCGAGATCGGCGCGGCGGGCACGGTCCTGCTCAAGAACGTCAACAACGCGCTTCCGCTCAAGATGCCGCGCAGCATCGCGCTCATCGGTACGCACCCCGCGCCCTCCCCGCCTCGCCCGTGCTCACACACCGGATCTGCCGCGCAGGGAACGACGCGGGCCCGGGCAGCCGCGGCCCGAACGGGTACTCTGACCGCGGCGGGGACGACGGCACGCTCGCGATGGGCTGGGGCTCCGGCACCGCGCAGTTCCCGTACCTCGTCACCCCGCTCGAGGCGGTGCAGGCGCGCGCGCGCGCGGACTCATCCGGCGCGCAGGTCTCGTGGTTCCTCAACAACTGGGACCTCGCGGGCGCCGCGGCGGCGGCGGTCGACCAGGACGTCGCGCTCGTGTTCGTCAACGCGGACTCGGGCGAGGGCTACATCACCGTGGACGGGAACGAGGGCGACCGGAAGAACCTGACGCTCTGGGAGAACGCGGACGCGCTGATCGAGGCGGTCGCGGGCGCGAACCGCAACACCGTCGTCGTCGCGCACTCGGTCGGGCCCGCGATCGTCGAGGGGTGGATCGAGAACCCGAACGTGACGGCGGTGCTGTGGGCGAGCCTGCCCGGGCAGGAGTCGGGCAACTCGCTCGTGGACGTGCTGTACGGGCACGTGAGCCCGTCCGGGCGTCTGCCGTACACGATCGCGAAGCGGCCAGAGGACTACGGCACGGCGCTCGTCACGGGCGGGACGGGCGACGAGATCCTCAGGATCGACTACACCGAGGGCCTCAACGTCGACTACCGCCACTTCGACGCTGTACGTCGTCTTCCGCCTTCCGTTCTCAGGCTCCTGGCAGCGTGCTGACCGTGCTCGTGCAGAACAACATCGTCCCGCGCTTCGAGTTCGGGTTCGGGCTTTCGTACACGACCTTCTCGTACTCCTCCCTCCGCGTCCGCGCCATCCCGCAGGCCGACCCGACCTCCGCCGCGCTCGAGGCCGCGTGGGCCGCGGGCACGCCCTCGCCCGCCGTCGAGGGCGGCTCCGCCGCGCTCTGGCTGCACCGGCCCGCGGTCGAGGTCTCGTTCGCAGTGGAGAACACAGGGCCCGTCGCGGGCACGGAGATCGCGCAGCTGTACGTGCACTTCCCCGCGCGCGCGGGCGAGCCGCCGAGCGTGCTCCGCGCGTTCGCGGACGTGCACGTCCCCGCGGGCGCGCGCGCCGCGCTCACCCTCGCGCTCTCGCGGTACGACCTGAGCGTGTGGGACGCCGCGCGCCAGGGCTGGCGCAGGCCCGCGGGCGAGATCGCGTTCTCGGTCGGGACGAGCAGCAGGGACTTCCGCCTGAAGGGCACCGTGCCGCTCTGAGCCCGTGGTGGACTTCTGCGCGCGTCGTGGTGCGCGTCGTGCGCTGGACTCCCTGCATGTATCGAGAACGATCTAGGACGGACGGAGGGCGGGGTGTTTGCGCACTCAGTCGACACGTGTAGTAGTGCTGTACTTGGTTGTGTGTGCTCTCTTGTTGCAGAGCTGCGAACGGAGACGTTCGGCTCGGACCCAACCCCTCCATGGGTCGCCTGCCGTTGGTCGGCGGAGACCAGTGCGTGGCCTGATGGGCTGTGAGCTGTGAGAGACGCATGGCGTTATGACGAAGCTCGAAGATTGCTCGTTTTTTTTGGCCTGGCGAATGTGTGTGCACATGCCATGTTCCTATTCGACTCGCTCGACGATGCGGGCGGATAGCGCCGTTCCGGCCGATCTGCAAACATAGATCACCCCTGAAAGTACACTGAGTGGGAGTCGAACCCACGCCGCTTCTTGGACGCACACCCATGGAAGGCAAGCACGATACCGTTTCACCATCAGTGTACGCTCGACCCGCCGGGAGGACATTTCCGGCCCGTAGCGATGCAGTGGCGCCGTACAGTCCGTGGAATGTATCTAGTCTTAGCATGCGTACGCTCCAGCTCGTCGCTTGACTGCCTCCAACACCGCGAGCCGGTACACAGCCTCAATGACTGCTGGGAGAGAAGGGGTACAATTACAGTACATCGCACGCAGCCCACCGTTGCGGGCTGACACGGCCGCGGGAGCCGTCAGAACGCTATCACAACATACAACGAGCAGAATCCCGGGGCGCGTAGGGTGGTCGTGATGGACGTTCGTTCATGATCAGGAGAAAGGACCCTTCCGCATCACGCAGAGGTCGGGGGAAACGGATTCGGAGGCGTAGGTTGAGGGAAGCGACCTGTTCGACGTTCATGCCGAGACGCCGTTCATGGCGTTCATGTTCGTGATGAGGGCGTGCGCACGCTCGGACCGAGGCTGGAACGAGCACGTATAGTCGCGCGGGTGGCTGCGCGGGAAGAAATGGGGTCGCGGGTCAGCTCACGCCGCTCGGGGGCCCGGGGAGGACGTGCACAAGGGGCGTACCTGACAAAGCCCGAGATGAACGCGGCCTCCGGCACGATGGGCCGGCCGTGCGCGTCCTTCGCGAGGGTGAGGTCCATGGTCGCGATGATGTTCGCCGCGGCGAGCCAGAGGCTCGACTCCGCAAAGGCTTGCCCGGGACAGACCCTGGGAGGTGAGCGTGAGTGTGGGGCATGCACTAAAATAATTCCAGAGGGGGATGCGCGTTGCACACAGTACGTACCGGCGGCCGAAACCAAAGACGATGTCTCTCGGGTTCGGTTGCTCGGCCTCCTCCGGGGACTTTTGCAAGAACCGCTCAGGGTCGAACTTCTCCGGATCCGGGTACACATCAGGGTTCTGTGTCATCCACCTACGCGAGAAAGAACGTGAGATGTGCGAAACGTAACATGTACGATGCTGCCCTGACCAGATGTTGGGGATAACCATCGCGCCGCTAGGAATATCGTAGCCGCGGTACACGTCGTCGGACTGTGCGCCGTGAGGCACACCTGCGAGCCATTAACCGGTTGAGCGATCCCGTCATGCCTCACCGAGAGATGATGATACTCACCGAGAGGGACGGGTGCGTTCCATCTGGAAGAACCGGCCCAGGATGTATCGGTATCCCGCATGCTACATAATAATACGGGAACGCACCTGAAGACTTCCTTCAGGACGGCGTCAAGATAGGGCAGACTCTCTTGATCTTCAAAATCAGGGAGCCGGTCGCCGCCGACGACGCGGTCGATCTCTGCCTGGGCCTTCTTGTACACCGCAGGGTGGAGAACCATCGCGAGAATGAAGGTCTTCAGGGAGGTCACAATCTGAAGTCTGTGGTGAGCTATTCCTGCCCACAGACATGAAGAGCGAGGGATACACACCGTTTCCGTCCCAGCTGAGATTATAAAAGGTTAAGGCTACAGTGGAGTCGACATCGTATGAGGCACACACCGGCGTAGATAACCCCAGCCGCGCCCTTGATGTCATGCTCATGTTCAGCCGTCAAGCTCTCGTTCGCGGCAGCCTCCTCCAGAAGCGTTGCCGCAAATGAAGGCGTCGCCGTGCCCGCGCGCTAGACCCCCACAACCCATGAGCCGCGCTCCCAGAGAGACACAGCGCACGAAGCGACGCACCAGAGCGTTCTTGACCATCTCGAACGGCGTGTTGAGCGCCGTGTGGATGAGATCGCGCGTGGCGAATGCACGCTGCTTGAAGCCGGATCCCGGGGCCCATAACGGAATGCCCTTTACTATAGCGGCCGATGAGGTCACCGGGCGCTCCGACGCGTGCTCCGAGTCGACGTACAGATGGGGAAGAAGTCCACGAGCATGGAGCCGGGGCTGCCTTGTCTGACGGTCTCTGTAGTGGCGCGCTCGGCGAGCATGATGTAGCGGTCGTCGATCGAGGTGACCCTGTGGCCGTATGCGATTTCCATGATACTCCCTGCGGCCCAGCTGGATCATTTGTCAGCGCGAGTTACATCGCGGGTGTTCTAGCGGGAGAAGGGCCGCGGTGACGCACCGAAGGATGTGATCGAAGAGCAGCTCCGGGCTCTCACACAAACCGGACAGCAGCCCGTACATCTCGCGCCGCTGGATCGGGCGGTACGCGACTAGCATGTCCTTGGACACGAACGCATCTTGGAGCCATTTCCGGTGTTTGCGGAAACGCTCGCCGTAGGGGAGGTTGTTCAGCACGTTGTCCCAGCCCATGCTTGTATGCGTCAGTCGAGCAGAACTGAGGGAGGGGAGGCGGGTGAGCGAGAGACACTCACAGCTCGGAGAGTAAGATGAATCGCGGCCTGTCAGAGTATTTGCCGCTGCGCTTTTCCATCAGCTCCACCGCAGCCTCTCGGGAGTTCAGAATGACCGCCGGCGTGCGGAAGAAGCGCGCGAAGACGACGTCCCCTACGAGCAGTGTCATCCGCCAGAGGCATTCGTGATATCACTGGGAAAACGCACCGTACTGCCGTCCCCATTCGGCGAGCTTGCGCTGTTGGTAATCCAGCGGGAGTTGGTGGACGTTGCCCAGCACAGGAAGTGCCGGAGGCCCGGGAGGAAAACGGCGCTTGTCACTCCTGATGAAGCGGGCGCACACTGCTCGGACGACCACAATGAAGAGCAACGCGATCGATATCGTCACGGTGTTGGCCATCAAGGAGGACTGTTGGGGAGCCATGGAGGGGTATCGGGGTGGGTGTTGAGCCTGGGCGGTGAGAAGTCGAGGCGACCCACGTACTTATACATTTCGGGTTTCTGCAGACTTTGGATCCCAGCATAGGCGGGGAATCATGGAAATGGTGAGTGACGGGCGGCAATTGTCGGCGAAAGCCCACAGCTGAGTTGTTGCAACCTCAGGACCGCCCAGTGCCACACCGGCGCCAGAATAGACGCTAATAGCTCGACCTAGCTGGCCCTGCGTCGTCGCGAAATCGGCTTTCCGGTAACCAAGCAAAAGGTTAGATCGATAGTTAGCTGAGTTTAAATGTCCTGAGAACCAGGAACGTTTCCTGGAAAAAGTGTTTCGCGCGACGATGTACGTGACAATTCTCGTTCGAGCGCCGTTATAAACGGACGCTGTGAAACGCCTCGCATGTGACGGCATCTGACACCGGGGTCGGTGTTAGCGATCATTTTACTCAAGGCGTGGTAAGGCCGGTAGCTAGTACCCGTAGAATACCAGCACGCCACCCAATGGCTTTGATTAGGATGAAATCCTTTGCCTCGGGATTACGTCTTCGTACCGGAACGAGGTGAATGTGTGTGGAATGTGACGATCACCAGTGGTGCAAGGGTAGAATAGGCGGGTATATGCGGCGCGCCCGTTCATACACATCCTGTAGTGAATGGCTATCAAAAGAGCAGCTATCCGATAAACGACGCGTGCACTCACATAACAGTACCTCACCCTTATCTATCGCCATGGCACTGTGGGCCCGTCCGGTGTTTTGCACAGGGATGATGCGCGTGTCGTATTGCCTGTGGGGTGGTTGAAGGACTACTACGCAATGACATAGCGTTGGTCGGACGTTGATGGTCCACCCCCGTCAGATGTCCTGTGCATGCCTTTCAGTTACGGAACGAGTATAGCAGTTGAAATGATCCATAATGACTGGACACAACGAGACCGGCATCGAGGGAGGCCTGCATGCTTCCAGGCCACATCAAGACGCCAGTCCTGAGTTAGAGCGCAAACTCAGATTTGTGCTTGCGTACACAGAGATGCGCCCCAAGCCAAACTCATGAGAATACCTCCAGAAAAGGAAGAGATCGTTGAGTGTCGCGTGTGATTTGATAGTAGCAACCGTTTGCCTCGGAAGAATTACAGAAAGCTAAGCGCTTGATTCCCAAATGGCTCACCGCTGGGAATGGCATTGGCCTTTCTGAAGGATCACGAGGTATGTGGTACATTTGCAACAGTCTTACCGCGGTACCGCTGCTTCTCGCCTTTGCGGCATATTATAATCGGGTTATGATGCGCACCTTCCATTACTGCAAGCCCATGGCATGCTCGGACTACCAACCAGTCCACCTGCAGAGCAATAACCAGAAACTGGCATGTTCTTTATCAAATCATGGATTATGATGAAAGGGGGCCCTCGTAAAGAGATGCGAGACACTCAGTGAGGACGGGGGTGGCGGTCGAACGGAAGGAGTGCACGCCATGAGGCGCCCGTTTGTTGGTCCAAATGTGTTCCGGCAAGTCCCGTTCAGACTCTTCCGCCACATACACTGAGCCGGCTTTCCGGAACACTAGAAGCCCCACCACATCGCTCTCTCTCTCCCAGTCAGCGGCACTAGAACCAATCTGCAGCAGTACTTGCCGACCAATGCCGGACCATTTTCCCATGTCATTGTCAGGCGAACATTCAGCGCCTGTCGACCCGCGGTGTCTACGAGTGAATTGAACATTGATGTGAACGCTGAGGCTCATCCGTCCACGTTGCGGACAACAGCCAGCTGTCCTGTCAGAGGCCAAGGTGTTATAGCTTTATGGCTCCTTTGTCGGAACCGCTGCTAAAGGTGAGCAGTCCAACAACACGGACCGCGTCATGGGCTGGCCAATTACTCACCCTCAAGGGAAAGGATGTGTCGGGTCTACACTGGGTGAATCCCCAACATCGACTAGATGCATGGCGTTTCTTGAATAATTGTTTCACATCCTGCCCGCATATGTTACGGTTCATGTCGTAATCAGAACAGGTTACGCTCGATGGCTTTTTGCAGAGAAAGCGGCCGCAATTCATGCCTGGCAGCCCAATACCGGCAGCAGCAGTCGCATTTCCAGCGGTCGAGCTATCACACCAGAGGTACACAACCTCGCAAAGCGGCTCATGGAGAAAAGCAACGTCCCCGGGCTTGCCGTCGGCGTTGCTCGTCCTTCCACCTCCGGGTTCAGTGGCGCCCTCTCGACAGAATTCGGTTTGTGGGGTATCATGAGCGAGGATGGCGCGAACG